TTTGTACCAGTCCCATGATACTCTGTCTAGCACCTACTGACATCCTGGTGCATGGGATACGTTATTTTGTAATTCTACACTAGAGCTATTCCACTTATTATAGGATGGACAGAAGCTGTTGCACAGGTTAGAAAATCTCATCATAACCAATAATCACTTGTAAAACATTCTTATCTCAACAATTAAAAATCACAATCCACTGTAATGCAATTTACACTGTTAAAATACTGATGTGAGTTCCCAGCTTATATCTAACTATAGCACGACCAGCACAATGTTGGGGTTTTTCTTGGCTCTAGTTTTGGAAGCATTAACCATCAGTTGGGAATATTTGCAAATTTTTTCAACAAAGTTCCTTCCTCAGTTCTAGGAGGCTCCTCTTTTGATGCTCTACTGAAGTTTCAGGATGTTTTTCTTTTTGCATCCTGCCTTAGTTCCAAGATATAAACCTTCTTGGAAGCACCCTACAAGTTTTACAGTCTTCCAAGGAAAAAGTTACAATAGAACATCCATCTAAGGAAGAACTGCACCCTAATAAAAGAAGGTGGGAACAGACTACCAGCAATTAATAATGCAAAGTAGTAAGCAACAGAACTCAGGAAATCTTTTAGAACAAATTCTGCTCCAAGAAGTCCACAGTTCTTTACTTTTACAGATTGATTTGTGTATATTAGGGGAAACAGTATTTCTATCTACTGAAGATTTGCATTTTGAATGCTTATGTTGATTTCCTGGTTCAGCTGGTGTTTGATAACAGCAGAAGCTGCCAAAGTGAAAGACTAGTTTCAAGTTTCCTTGCATATTTCTGCATTTCCCTGCCCTTTCAGTCAATGGTTGCTGTGTACTTCAGAGCAGACAGAGGTGACTAAATCAATTCCAGAAGCTTGAATTGGTTTACAGCAAGCAGAATTGTTAATATCCTTCCGTTGTTATTCTTAGACAATACAAGATTGCATATTCCCAGAAAGTAGATAAAAATATTAATTCTTTATTTAAAACAACAAGCTCTCTATATAATGTTACCTGTATTTTTCATGTGCAAGAAATGAAATTTGTTCTCCTGTTCAGTTTCACAATGAGTAACTTCGCCATGAAATAAAATGGCATGGGCCTTCAGTCACCTGCAGATCCACAGAATCCACAGTTATACCATTCCCTCTCTGTTAAAGCTTCTCATACTCGTCTCTACCTACAAAATTAGAATATTCATCCAGCTCACTCATTCTTATGGTCTTTTCCTATTACAGTGCCCTGTAAATCACTTAATGCAATAGACTGGAGGCACAGAGCTGAAAGGAGAACTGCAAGAAAGAAATGTGTGCCTTGCCATTGATTTCCACTGCTTTTGCAGCTGACCTAAATTAAGAAAATTGACAGTGCTTCATACCTCTATGCTCTAGATCCCCTTCCTCTCTCCCAACGTGCTGGTTTCAGGCTGCTGCATCCTCACGTTTTTCTCACATCTGGGATAAGTACAACAGAGCCCACCAACAATTTGATATGCCATCAATTATATATTTACATTTCACCACTGAGGCCTACTCTTCTAAAACCTAAATAAAATTACATCCAATTTATGAAAGAGTGGAAAGCACGTACCTTAGTCTCATCTTCTCCAATAGCATGGAATGGCAGAAATTGGAAAGCTTCTACTTATTTCCTTCACTGACCTGAATTAAAACCTTGTACGTTTTAGAATTTACAGTAATTAAAAAAAAAAGTCAAACAACTGTTGCAACACACTTTCTAGGCTGAAACTCAAGAATTCCTTTTAAAATTAGATCTCCAGGTAATAGAACTACTATAAGAATATAAGTCTGTTGTGCATTATGTTTGGTTTTCTATTTCTCCCTCATTCCTCCTATGGGAATGTGTTCAATCTCGTGTTTTTCACTCACAATACATTTCTTTAGTCTGCAACTTTTATGTCTGTCCCTTATGTCTACTCAGTGTTCACAGCAGCATCTGAACACATCCTCACACTACATCTAAGTTTTGGTTGCCAAAGAGTTGCAAATACTAAACAATGTGTCTATTAAATAGATAAATATCCCTCCCCTATCAGATCCAGATAATGTGTGTAATATGAGATAGAAAGGTGTTGTGTGTGAAAAATATAGGGAATTATGTCCATTTAGCAAACCTGAACCATTTTCCTCCCCCCCTCCACAGAGAAACTTGAGGAGGAAGAAAAATTCTCTAGGGAGTCCAAGGTAATACATGGGGTTTGGTCATCTGAAAGACTTTCAGGAGGAAGTATTTTGTGAATGTGTAGAAGTCTGAGATTGACAAGAAGCACACTGCTCTAGAAAGTCAGAAATTGTCTGCTTAGCTCCTATGAGAATGGCAATTGTATATCTGGTGATCTGAAATGCCTTCTCAGCTGGAGAAAGGGACTTGGAGAAATTGTGAGTCACAGCTTTTCATGTGAAAATCCTGCCAACAAGTACTTGTGGAACTTCACTGTTCTCCCTCTGCATGGACTCTGTGACGTTCTGTTACCACAGAACATTTGGAGTTGGGAATATTGCTGCTCCCAGGACTCCTTCCACTTCTGTGCCCAGCACATCTCTGCTTGATGGTGAGATCCTGCACATGCTGAGGCCAGTGAGAGGTTTCCAATGGATTTTACAAAGTTAGAGCAAACCCCAGTCTGCAATGTTAACCAGACCAAACAAGATAAAAATCTGAAAATTACTGAGATGAAAAAGAAAACTTTATTGTACTGAAATATAAAGAGCCAGGGGTTGTGGTTTGTTCAGTAATTAAGCAGTGCTACATACCTCCAGCTTACCAACCAAACCTTTACAACTACAAACCTGAAGCAGACTCTTCACTACAAATCACTGTAAAGTCCAACAGTATAATACAGGGAGTAACCAGGTTTCATTCATTCTCAGTGAGCTCCACTAAAAATATCAGGCTGTAAAGTGCTGCTTTTGCCTTATATTTTTTTTAGTCACAGAAAGACACTTTAGCCTAATTTAAGTATATTCACCAGTAATTCTGTATTGCAATTATCCTCTCTTTGCCATAATGTCTCCTGTTAAGTTTGTGTATCTTTCTTTGCTATATCAAGACTTACTTACAGTCATATTTATAACAACTTTCTTTTTATATCCTTAAATACTAAATGCATTGCTTTAGTAATATCTACAAATTTATTTTTGGTGTTTCAAAAAAACACTGGCTATCACAGTTTTTATTATTAAATAAAAAGGTGCTTCTTTTTTTATTCAGACCTCCTAGACCTTAAGAAAGCATATAGCAGGTTGCTGTTATCTGTCATTTCAATAAAGTTGCACTATGCAATACTGAAAAGGAAGTGACCATGGCTTTTCTAAAGCCATTACCCAAATAGCAGTTAACTTTATGGTATCCGTGACATCTGACTTCCCTTTGTCGGCATAGTTATGGCTGGGAGAGCACTATCATCACCTGGAAAATTCATGAACAAAAACCACTGAGCATATGATTACAGGAATGCAATTATTTTTGGCAAAATAATCTAAGAGCAAAAGAAGCTTTATCAGCAATGAAAACATTTAACTGACCAGTACTACCTCACACTTTACACTTTACAAATTAGAAAGAATAATTAAACAAATGTTCTTTAAATTTGCATTTGTAAAGTAGAAAAGAACAGAAAGACTCATCCTTCGTAAAGGACATGCAAACACGATTTAATATCAACACAGCCTCAGCAGACTGTTTAAACTGAACAGGCAATACTACAATTATATAATTATAAGTTATAAATTATTTCACTGACACTTTAAGAAAAGATTGACACTTTAAGCAAATAATTGATACTTGAAACAAGGTAACACACTTCAACAGTGAAAAAAATCAGAAAAAAAAGAAAATGAATCTCATGAGAGATTTCTGATTCATCAGCGAGCTGTCACAAGGAAACATTATTTAGGTTTAACTCCATTTGGCATAGAAGCAAGTGAATCTCATCCACAGCAAAGACAAAATCAGCTATTGCTTGATCTAAACTGGTGAAAAATATACTGTCAACTGTATCAGGTACGTGGAAAACAGAAAAATTATCACCCTCAAACTTGACTCTACATAGGGAAATTAAAGCAGAGTAACACTCACAGTTCTCTCTAACTGCTTTACAACTTAAAACCCCAAACAAAACAAAAAAACCCAAACAAAACAAAAAAGCCCCACCACCCTAAAAAAACCCCCACTAATACTTAAAACATTCATTCTGGAAACACTACTTTTAAAAAGAGTGTTATTCTTAAAAGTATTATCGCCATCTACTGACCCTTGCTTTAAGATCTACTTAAGCAGAAGTCTTGAATGAAATACCTTTGTCAGGCTCTATGAAATGAAGACAAAATCCATCTCCATTGAGCAGCAAAAAAATGAAATAGCCTTTTATATCTAGTTGGCAAGAGGAACCACAATGACCATAATAATGCAAAAATTAACTCAAAGGATACAGTTTGATTTGATAAAAGACATTTGCAGAATCCTAGCACTGATATGACTGAGGATACTCATAGTACACAACTTCAAATTATTCATATTCTATAGGCATATGTAAGTCTATTTATAAATATATATGTGTATATACATACATAAATATACACATACATATATATATATGAATCCTTGATGTTACATGAATTTTGGAAAACATAATTCACCAAAGTTTGACAAACCATGACAAAATGTACAGTCATATACTGAAAAGAATCAGAGGAGTAGAATGATAATCAAGTTTAGATTGTCTTCTCACAGCATTCGCTCGAGCTGCACATGCCTGACATACAGCATTTTCATTTCAGTTTCAGAAATAATAAATGGGGTTATAAATGTAAGAATCAAACTGTGTTTGTTAAGCATGTAATTTTTTTCTCTGCCAATCTTTAAATTTTTACAATGACAGCCCAGTAGAATCTTTTTCAATTCACCTCTGTGGATTTATTTATGCAATATCTTTTAATTAGCAGACCACAAATTGTAGCAGTTACAATTAAACCGTGTCAGTTACAGTTCAGTCAGAATACAAAATTGACTTAAGAGCCACTATAAGGAAAGCTTTCAGCACTAAAGGGCAGTTATTGCAAAATCAAAGACAGAATTAATAAGGGTCTTTCAATTTAACAGCAGAATTTTAATACACAGAGATCTAGACATAGTTTTCACCAGGACTTCAAAAAGTCCTATACTATAGTGTGCTAATAAATATACGTGAAAAGATTATAAAATTAATAAAAATTAAATTAAATCAATGAAACATGGGAGTTGTTTACATTCCAGAACATTTAATTTATAGCTTTTAAACAGCATTGCAGACCAAGTTAAAAAAATGCAACCTTTTTCTTAGGCTTGCAAGTTATTCAAGTAATGTCTACTGAAAGGCACCTCTGAGAATTTGTGTTTCCATAGTTAAAACTCAAGTCTTACCTGGGAAAGGATGGCAGCATAAAATCAAGTACATAAATACAGTTATACAGTTTAAAATTCTTAGTGCATATCAAAGTATCAAAGCTCTTTGTTCCACCCTCCTTTAAACTGGCATGTACGGCTCACCGCGAGATGTCCCTGATCCAGTCTGGAGACTGGTGTGCTACCTATGGTGGCAGTGTACTGTTGTGAACAGAAACATTACTAGGGAAGCAGTAGAACATTTCTTTTCCATGGCTACACTCCTGGGGGTGCAAGACAGTCATAACAAACCCAACTGCCATCACTAGCACACCAAGAGCAAGAATCAGGCCGGATATGAGGTTATCGGAATGGTTCCATCGCTCCTTGGACAGCCTCAGATAACATGCTGATGGGATGATAAAAACAAGTGGGGTAGCACTCAGAACTCCCTGCATGTGGGAAACAACAATAGAAAAAAACATTGTAAGGATGTATATTTAGATGTGAAGAACAAAAACCTGGTTTTTAAATATCAGCTTCACTACTGAGTAATTGCTTAGGCAAAAAAATACTGCATTGATGGAATGCTTGCTTTATATTTGTATATTTGTTTACAGTATATTTGTATATTTGGCCCAAATGGGTGTGGTTTTGTATGCACATACTTAATTGCTTAGTTACTATCTCTCTGGTTTGACTACTTCTGGTTCTTTCCTTCTACACCCCTCTTTTTTTTTCCCCCCTTTGGCACAAGGCAGTCAGTAGGATCTGTCCCAGTGTTTAGTAATTTGCCAACTTCATCAGAGGTAGAGACTAGAGAAAGAAATGCTAGATTCAGTATCACTATACAGGTTGGGCGAGTATTTTAGTGATTTTTTACTGCGGTTTAAATACATTTGTTAAGTCACAGCCATTTGCCATATCTCCAAAACTGTTCTAAAAGCTCTCCCCAGTCATATGAACTTTACTTCCTGAACTTCCTTTCTCCTTTAGTTATTGGATTTTGAAGCAGTGAATAATTCCTTTTTTTCCTATTAACATTACTACTGACTACTACATCAAGTTATGTAAGATTTTCAGCAGAGCTGTGGATTTTACAGTGTTCTGTTTTATTAAAAAGTGATTTTTTTAAATAAAAGAGTATAGAGGTTCACTTACATTCAGTTCTAAAACTATTCCAAGGCAATCATACACTAATGATACACCAGTCGCCACAGCAACGATAACTACTGTCACAACAATATGGAAAACTGTGGAGAGGTTCCCATGGAAAAACACATTGGCAATCACCTGAAACAGAACCACAATTTTTAACCTTGTGTTTGCTCCTTATGTTATCAAACAGATTTTTTCAAATCTTCTAACCTTAGGAAACTAAACAAATGTGTGAGAATAAACTGAATTTTGCTTATGTTGCTTCAAGGAAACATCTCCATCTACTTCCAAAAATAACTTGTAACGAGCATTACTAAAATTGCTGAACACTTCCAAGACTGACTTAGTTACACCTGCAGGATTTAGAGGATACTTAACTTTCTTCTCATTTCCCCACTACAGAATAAAACCATTACAATTATTTATTGAACAGACGGATTTGCTAGATGGAGATGCTTCTAAAAAAAGAAAAACTATTAAGCGTAAAAAGTATGCTATTTTCGGCTCATCTCAACATAGTAACAACAGTGGCATTTATGCCAAACTTGGAATTTTAAGCGGTCCTGATATTATTAAGATATTGGGTAATATTATAATGAATGTAATGCACCATTGTCTAGACACTAGGCCAGTGTCTAAAGAGTACAGCTAGTCCCTCATATTCATTGTATGTATCAGGATAAAATATGGTGATATTTCCTACAGATCAACCACAGACTTCAGCTACAATACCTATTAATCATGTAAGAACATTATTAATATATAACAACATTGTTAAATGGAAAATGTAGTAAAATCTTACCTCTCTGGTCACAAAACATTCAAGGGGGAAGGTCAGAATTACAGTAACTCCATAACAAAACCTTCCAAATGTAGCAAGGTTGTCATCTCTACAGTAGTTTTCAAATATATCTCCTAAGGCACAGCAAAACATAATTAGCTTGAACTTCACATCATATGCTTATTTGCAAATTGAAGTCCATGTTACTGGAGTTACTAGAGTAATTGAGACTTTCTGATCCCCTCTCCTGACACATATCAAGAAACTACTGTTATAGTCACAAGCTGCATCCAGGAGAAACTTTCAGCTTACACTGCTATTAGCAGTGTTTTTCTCTGAAGTAGCATTTATCTTTAAAAAATATTTAAAATATGCATATCAGAGTTTGTCATCTGTTATCTTTCCTTTAACACAGATTTTTGTGTGACATGCTGGTGTTTGTTTAAACAAATATGTGACAGATTCAGAAAGAAAGGTTGTGTGTAAAACATATTTTTAAAGGAAATGCATCTCCTAGAACAACAATTACACAAAGAAGACCAGGGAGTTATCTCTGGAGAATTGCACTTCCCTGGTAAGCTGTAGTGAATAATTTCAAATATTCTGACCCCAAAAGCTCATTATAAACATATGGGTCATTACCTAGAAAATCTTATATCTAACAACAAAAGTATTACTAAAGAATTCAAATCATCATCTTGCTTAGCGTTTACCACAAGGAATCTGCAATAATGAACTCTGAGGCAAAAGAGACAGTGCAACACAGCAATGAGATGACCCATCAGGTCTTTTCTATCCCATTACAATACTGTCTCATGACTTAGTAATTTTATGTTCACAATGGCACTGAAGAAGCAATAAGGTATACTTTACAGAAAACAGCCAAAAGGTGTGGATGGGGACACAAGGTAATATGGAACCTGCTTACACCAGAGTCGTATGCTGAGGGACAGCTGCAGTCCAAGCTTTGTAAACTTTAAATGTCTTAGCTAGTCTGCACTTAGTCTAGCTATAGTATATCTAGTACATCTAGGACATTTAGGACAGTAACTTACTCTGCTAGAGTAACAACTGGAGGCAGGAAAAAAGGACAGATCAAGCAGTAACCCCCATGGTACAATTCCTGTGTTCTCAACTACACGCGACTGCTCATTAGAAAAGGAAAAAGCTTGGAAGCCTTCTACAGGCTAGAATGTTGCTATTAAGTAACAGAAAATCTGCCTGCTTATGAAATGTGTATTATTCCTGAAAAGGTAATGCACTGAACAAACTTATGCCTTGTTCCTCTGAACACACCTTTTTTACTTCAACAAAATTATGTTAAATAACATGATGCAACATCGGTTATATATTTGTACTTTTATGCGTACTCATATACCCACAAAGGGGACAGTAGGATTAGCTACAGCAGAACAGCTGTTGTTAAGACAGGAAATGTCTATTAGTCAGAGATATATTAGCACAGACAGGAAAAAATGTAAGAAAATGTACAGAAAATATATACCAGACACGCTGCAGAAAAATCAAGGCAACTTTTTGTTCTTCCTGCTCTCTCCTGCTGGACCATGTGGCTAAATCATAGATCTTTAGTCCTCAGAAGTGTTTTGGTTATGGAAGTATTCAAAGGTGACTTTTACCAGTGAGGCTTACACTTGGGAATCTGACACCTATTAATATGCAGCTGACACTTTTGTATCCCGTTTTGGTTCTTGGGTAACCATGAGGAATGTCCTATTTCTGTCCATGCTACTCTGATTTTTGTATTTTTTATAATCACTAAGGTATTTACGGCAAATGTCAGACAGAAAGGCAGAAATGTAAGGATTATAGCAAGCACCAAAATTGAGGGATCAAGCAGTTTACCTTCTGTGTATCCTGTAAAAGTCATATATCCACATGCAGCAAACACGACACTGATTACAACAGCCAGTGAGACAGACACATGTGTGACTTGAGACCAGTTCTTTAACGTGGGTTCTTCCAGAGATCCGTATATTAAAAAGCTGTTATGGTTGCAGATGAATGCTGAAACACAGGACAGTTACAGCAAATGTATGAATTCACGCATAAACACATAGAGAGACACAGCACTGTTTGAATCTACTCATTATTAAAAACAAACATTAATCCTGCAATGAATGGCAAAGATAAACGGCTAGAACTTTTACTTGCTTAGTTGATTTGATGAAGGTGTATATTCATCCTGATTCTGATTACATTACCCTTAAATGTCTTGTCATTTCCCACCCTCCACACTTCCATTCCATCTCTTCCTGCTCTTCTTTTGCTTAAGAACCCAACAGCAGATTTGAGATTTTTTTTTTTTCATCCACAGAGCCATTTGCTACTTTCAGACTTTCTATGGCATCCATTTTAGGCAGCAGCAAGCATTGGGAGGCCTCAGATTGTTACAGGAAATAATATACCAGATCCTGCAGGCAGGAACAGATTTCAGAATGAAGACTTTTCTGCTAGAGGTTATCCAAAAGAATGCAGAGCAATCACAGCCTCCTTAGTTTATCAATTAGACTAACCCCATTGATGCAGGTACTTTAAGATGAGCTGGATTCACAGGCACACCTCTGCCTCTGCTACAGTGGCAATAGCCAGGGGGCAATGGATGGCAATAATGTCTTACACCATAAAAACGAAATTCATATGGATAAATCAGTCAATTTTATTTTTTTTCCCTACACCATCTTAACATTAATAGATATATATAAAAAAACCAACAATCAAACCATAAAAAATTCAATTTCTTGGTCCAAAATATTAAATGATTTCTTACAGCTGATCTGAATATTGAAAATACAGAAAAAAAACCACTTACCAAACGACATCACCCCAATGGCTTGTATTGCATTTGATCTTGCAAATGTCCATGCATTTTCCGATTTGGGTCTAAAACAGACATTTGTTTTAATAGATTATCCTCTTTTCAATTATCAGTTATTAAAAATTGCTTAAAATATTATGCTGTAATACAGAACTGCTGCTAGTCAGATGTCCACAACTCTCTGAAGTAGGATCCAGTGTTCACAATAACTTTAAACTGGGGAGGTACCTTTCACACCTCCCTTGTTTTGACTCAAGTATTTCTGTAACCAGATTTCATAGTAAAAAATGTCAGCCTGTTTCAGTTTTGTAAATAAACTCTTCATGTCATCATATACCAAGAAATAGCAACAGGGAAGGCAAAGGCTGTTACTGATTCTGACTACGGTTATCTCAATCCGAAATGTCTTCTGACAATTTAGAGGCAATTTCTGCCTCTGAATTTGCACATGTAATCCACACAGTCTAGAGAAATCTTCTCCCAAGCTACAAATCAAGCAAGGCAATTTACCTTTCTTTACACCAGTTCCAACTATTCCTCAAAGTAAAGAGATTCTGCTACTTCCCAAAAGACAAAAGAAAGTGTAAGAGAGAGACTTTCATAATCAGTCAAGAATATAATATTCCCCAATCTCCTTCTTTAAGGTATGCCCACAGTTTTGGTAATTGTAATGCTTAGAGGAGGACCATGGAAAACGAACAAGGAACTTTGCTGAAAAACATTTACTGCATGAACATCATCTCTGAACAAAGAACCAAAATGAAGAAATGGAGAAAGACACAAAATATCCCTTTCCAGAAATACAGTTTGCTAAAAACATCAAATGATATTCACAGGCCAGTTTAACATTGTATTTGTGATATTAAAACACAGACAAAGAAACAAACAGTGCAGAGAAACTTGCTTGTAAAAAAGTTGGATGCAACTAACTTCGATTGCTGTTCTTATTTAGAGGGAAAGCTGCTGCCACCTGAGGCTTAGCTGCTCTTTTCCTACTGCCCTAGAAAGCAGTACGGCACTCAGGCCACTTCTGTGAAGGTATCAATAACAGCTTTGTCTCTCCCTCTCTCTGGTGATAGCTAGCTGGTTTTGACAGCTATAGTGGCATGTGCTGTGCCTGGTTTCATTGCTTTCAAACGTTAAAATTCCATCTCCAGCTCCTAAAATTAAAAAAAAAAAAAAAAAAAAAAAAAAAAAAAAAAAAAAAAAAAAAAAAAAAAAAAAAAAAAAAAAAAAAAAAAAAAAAAAAAAAAAAAAAAAAAAAAAGAAAAAAAGAGATGCTGTTTCCTATTTCAGAACTCATCTTACTATTTCTTCAGTGCTCAAATAGTCAGTCCTTCCTTTTTACATTAACCCCCCCTATATTTACAGTATCTAATGCACATTCAGTTCAGACTTAGACCACCTTTTCAGCTCTTAAGCTGTGGTTGCTAAGCTTAACTTTGAAGTGAACAAAACTTGGGTATAAAAAGTTCATTTTCTTTGTCCTCAGATGTAGTATATTGTTTTGACTGCTGTAACATACTGCTCCAAGTCTTAAGCAGCTGAATACGGCCCTCCGAAAATATCCTCAGACAGAGCATGTAGATGTAATAAATATTGGGGATGAAATAGAGCTATCTGTCATTTGTCTTGTGAAAGAAGTAGGACTTCTGACCCCATATAGCTGCTGTAGTTCCTTATATAGGCTCCCTTAACTTTATGCCACTGATTCCAAATCACTATCATTAGAAATGCCTGTGGAAATAATTTTGAATGTATTATTTTTAAGTAAAATATTCGCAATTGATTGGAAAAATGTCAATAATATTTGCAAATAAAAATAGCTCATAGAAAACTAACACTACAACTGTTCCTCTCTGTAACCACTAGAGGTCAGCTTTGTTAGTAAACATACAGAATGAAAATTTGGTTTATTTTTGTCCATTGACAGCAAAACTTATCAGTTTTCTTCGGCCTTTTTATATTAATAATTAACAGTTAGATTATCTAATACCCTATAAATCAAAATATTTTTAAATTCACAGAAATAATGTTTCTGTCTGAAACATAATTTATTTCTGTTAAAATGGCACATCCTATGTAACATTATAGCTATATTATGAGCTCATACAAATAGGGGTTTTAAAAGAGGAAATGTAGAAAGCACAGGAATTTAATTAGAAACATTTTGAATAAAGTGATTAAATAATCAATTAAAAAAATAAAAATAAAAGGAGCTAGTTTTCCTTCAGCACAGTGTTAGATTATGCACCAGCAATATGCAACAGACCAAAATACAGCTTTACTTTAAGGATGAATGGCAAATCAGATTAGGAGTATTATTTGGGGGAAACAAATCCAAAAAGAACAAAATCCTGCTTATTTGGCAGCCTAAGAAGATAAATTCCTTCCATTCTAGTTGCAGAATAGAGGAAGAATTTCAGATCTCTCATTGGAACACTACCAGCAGCTTTTAATGTCCTACAATGCATGTTGGTACAGATGTACTATTTTCTACAGTAGCTCATATACTGCTGCATGTGCTTTGAAAAACATTTTCTGTGGGAATAGAGGGATCCCACATACTGTGGGAATAGAGGGATCTCACACCATGAAAGATCTCAGTAAGAAATTTCCTTTCTGAGAGTCAACAGCTGTAGAGTTGTGACCACATCAGTAAGAAGTTATCCCCAAGTTCAGTCTGCAGGACATAGAGACTTATGCAAAGCTCCTGGAAAAGGGTGCAGGTGACATGAAGGTGTTTATATAAAATAAGACTTCATAGTCAGAAAGAGAAAACTGTGTCAGGGAACCGTAGGCATTAGTTATGGAAAAGCCATACAGTGAACAATCATATAAAACTACTCACAAGGCAAAGGGCACCGAGGGGAAACATCAAGTGTCAGGGTAAACATACACACATTGATATAAAAATATATGTCTGTGTAGGTGGATGCACACACACCCTGAAAGAGTGTGTAGAATACAGGGTAACATCACACCTGCTGGGCTTTTTCAATCCTGCTGCCACTGGAAGGACTTTTTTTTTTTTTTTTTTTTTNTTTTTTTTCCGAGATGGACTTTGTTCTGACCAGTTTGACCTGCATTCTTGGTAGGGGTTGCTACAAGAAGATTTTAACTGCTGCCTACACAAGAATAGCAGTAGCTGCAAAAATCCATTGACAAAACCAGCCAGCTCTCTGTTCCTCACTCAGTGTATAAATACACAGGCTATGCCTGCATGAACAGAAAGGGTTTTTTTCAGGCCAGAGAAGAAGTATTAGATCAAACAATGAAAAGTAACAGAAGAAATACATTTTTGATACGAAATGCACTTGTTGACAGCTGTACTGTCTATCATATATAGTAGAAGCTTTAACACAAAGTAAAGCCTGAGATGTTATATAACTGTGATTCTTGGAACAAAAATAATAAAAGATTCAGGAAAAAGGCAGTCCAAGGGAGTTCCTAGACAGGAAAATTTCAGCTGAAACTAAGGCAGCAGCAAGACAGACTGCAGGTAGTGAGGCCTAGTGATAAAGAAAGCCTAAAGGTTAAGAAGATAAGACTCTACTCAGCATATGTAAGTGAAGGTACGGCATAATAAACATGTTAGTGAGCTTCTAAATGTTTTGAATATATTCATGTTTATCTACATAAGAACAGTGTGAAATTAAAAGAACAAATGAACAAGGCAAAGGTTAAGACATCCAAGCCAGGTGAAAGGAATTTCACATCCAGACCATGAGTTGGAGTTGGGCCAATTTGTCTGGCAGTCTAAAACTGCCTATTTTCTACTTCTTGTAAAACACAGCATAATATTCCCCATCTATCCATGTTATGCAAAAATCTTTTCTGTCATTTATGTAGAAACACTGCCAAATATAATACAGCAGCAGAGTGCATGAGAAGCAAAATATCTTTAAGGAAGGCAAGAAAAACACACATCTCTGATCTCAACCCGTTTTGTGGGTATGAAATATTGACTGAAAAAAAAAGTTAATTCCTACAGAGGCACAAAGTCATATTTTTGGCAGGGGAGCTACCTGTTGGAATGAGTGAAAGATTTCCATTGGTTTGGATTCAACATCAGGGACAAACCACCTAGTTTAGATACAAACAGGCAGTCAATCCAGGAACATCTCACAGATTAATTAAGGTTCAATTCAATTATTTAGACCTTTAGGAAATTAACTGTAAAATTTCAATTTCATTCTATTCCAATAGAATAGTTTTAGTTCTTTTTAAGCTTTAAAGGTTTAAAGATATTGATAACTTTATAGATGCTGAATGTGCCTTCAATCAGTATAAGAGAAGGAAAATGAGTACAGCCCACATCAACCTTGTATTTTATATTAATCAAAGTCATCTTGTGAAAGAACACAGACAAGGAAAAGCTATTATGTCAGCCTCGCTTACTTACAGGTATTTTAATTCTTCTTTCTTCCTTAATGAATTACTTAGCAGTTCTGTAAATATATGGGAGCTTAGATTTATTTTTTAATTTCATCACACATTAAAGTTTACCTTTGTTTACTAATGAATTTTTTTAAATGAAGGAAAGAATCAACTTTCCACTTTCATGTTTTTTTCCTGAGCACTTGGTGTTTCATCCCTATGATCAGCTGCTAGTTGAGTAATTCTCACATCCTCTTTACAGATAGCAGATGCTCTTGAAGCTTTTCCTAGAGATTTATGTACTATGTAGACACTGACATCAAGACATTCTTTGCAAAAAAACACCAAATTAAATTAAAATAATCCACCTTTATAATATAAACATAAAATATTTCTTTTTACAGCAATGAATGTTAACTTCATGCTTCAAAGCTGAAACTATTTTATGCTGTATTAACATAGTGTACATTTACAGTTTGAGATAGTTCTAATCTATTGTTTTTGATGACAGTAGGTAAATACCCAGCTATAAGCAGGTGGAAATAACGATCAGATCATCAAAATGTAGTTTTATCCAACATCTTGAAATACTGAGAGTAAACTCTGAGTAATCCAGAACACTGGATTTTATCTGCAGGTTCATTATGTCATGCAGGCAACAATAATCATATGGATGATAGTAAAAAAAGCAAAACTGAAAAAAAAAAGTTTCTCAGGTTGATATTTGTTATAAAAGGAAAAAAACTAAACATACTGCAGAGGGTCTCATATTGACGAAAATATTCTTTGTTATTTAAATAATAAAAAAACGGAGCATGCATTGCATTTAAGCAAAGAAGTTTTATCATCTCCAGATAATCTTCTTGGACCTCTCAAAGGGGAGATATCTTCATTTTAAAAAAAATCTAAAGATAAGTGAAAACTCATTACTTAGTAACTATCAAAATGGGAAGATATCCACATGGGATTCCTGTGGAACCTGACCTGAGTCCAGTATTTTTTTAATGTGTTCAGCAGTAACTTGAACAACAGAACAAAAAGCAAGAAGTGTCCTTAACGGAAAGTATGAAATGTACAGTTAACATAAGGATAATAGAGAATGGGATGAAAAAAAATCATAAATATGTTGGGAAATGAAGTAATCATCTGATAAAGTAGCATTCAATTCTGTAATGACAAATTCTACAGTTATGCAGGGAAAAAGAAAGGCTTCACAAAAACAGGGTTGGAGGCTGGGGGGAAATCCAACAGAGAACAGAATAAAAGAAAGACAAATTCCTCAGCTCACAGTTCTGCAGAGAAGGACTTGGTACTTCTACCAGACTGCAAACTCAAGGCCCATCCACAATGTCATGCTACTTTCCAAAAAAACAAACATCAAACTAAATTGTATGAACAGAAGTGTGGCAACTCCCAAACAACACAGTTGTAAGGGATCTTAAGACACCTGCATTTAAGATACATCAATCTTTCTTCTCTGCTTCTCAGAGGGAATACCACAGGCAGCTGGGGCATCATGATTTCACTTTTATCTGCAGAAAACTTAAGGCAGCCATTGAACATGATGAGGAGGACAGGAAATGACAAGAAGAGAAACACTAAAGGAATTGTGTTTGTTTAGTCTATTGAAAGGATCCCCAAAGTGGAACAAGTTACAGGTTTTTACTGGTGTTTTTCAAGAATTTGAAAAAGAATGAGCAGTTTGCTGTCCTTCTCCACTGTGGTTAGGTCAAGAAGCAACCTATATAAAATGGAGTAAGAGACATGCAATACACATTAAGGAAGAACGCATAAGAACTGGAATGGGAAACCATGGAATTAACAAGAATAAATGACCTTATGGCAGGCATATAATCAGTTCAGCCATATAAGAAGTGTAGGGATAGAATATTCTTGGCCCAATCAAGCCTGTTTGGAAACTCCAAATTATATTGTATTTTAATAAGGATTCACAATAAATGTGTAAATTCACTTGTTTCATTTGTAATATGATCGGACCCATATTAAAATAAAACAGTGTTCTTTATTCTCATAGCAAAAAATGAGAGATGGCATACCAGTATACGGCTAACAAAATAATAGAAGAGGGTTTTAATAATTAACATATATGTTTATACGTAACTGTAAAATAAAAAGAGTAAAAGTAGTAAAAGCCAAAAATTTAGACATTAACAAAATGTTTGCAAGGAACAAAAATTCTTATTAACATTTTATCAACTTGCTAGATGCATTTTTGAAAACAAGAAGTGTAAAGGCAAGAATGAAAGTCTCTAAAGAATTAAAAAGTAAAACTTAAAGAATCACTCAAAACCCAACATTACTTATTGTAAGAAAAAATAAAACCATGCATTCCATATTTTTCAGTGCATCACAACTGTGCAGAAGAAAGGTTACCATAGTAACAAGGTCATCAGTAACTATTATATATAGCTTCTTGCTTTTTTGACAGGGGATTTTGAGATTAACCTTTCAAATACCCCTTCAACACACAGTATGAAAAACACACTGCTTCAGAAAGATGGTGGGGAGGGAAGTCCCACACTGTTCTGAGCACGTCATTTTGTGGATGATAGACAACATCATCTGGGACAACTCTAGAAACTGCTATTCTAGGCATCTTCCTACCATTAAACCTGAACACCCTACAATTAACCCACGTATCACAGCAGTAAAATAAATGAACAATTATGCATAACAACGCTGAAACAATCCTGGTGGAAGGATCCACTTCTTACAGGCACATAAGACATACCATATAAACCTGTTCCAATAAATAAAACAGCACATTCAGAAGGAGAGTTTTTCATCTTTATTATATCTTTACATTTAAAGGATGAAGAAAAAGACAGCTCTTGTAGGCCATTAAAGAAGAAGAATAGATTCATAACACTTTCTTGCAATATAATTACAAAAATATTGTCACAACATATACTTATGTGTACTAAATTGTTTAGAACACTCCAATGTCTAATGTTAAACATTGCTTTTACAGTATGAGTGCTGGAAAAGTTTTGCACGCTTTTCTCAAATGACAAAATAAATTTTTTATTATTGTGTTCATTTTTTAAAATTTTCATTATTTCTATTTGATTTTTATTATGACATTATATTCACAGAAGAAGTATTCCTAAGATACTTGCTATTTTCAGGTTGTAAATATAGGCCATCTGACAAATGGACAACATAAAAAAATTCCCAAATTACATACAACTTCACATGCCCATTCAGGACACATCTGCTGTTAGTCATATCATCCACAGTTTCCAATTAAACTGTAGTGTTTTGGGGACTTTTTCTAAATTTACGTACGTGCAAAAGAAGAAAAGAAAAAGGATAAAGCATATTTAGCTGTTCGTTTTATACAGATTTTTCAATTATCTGTCTGTCCCAAAATAGGCATGTTCCAGAATTATGCAATATATGCAAGACTGAACTAATAAATTAGGTAATCAAAAATTAAATTTGTAGCAAGTGTAAGAATACTCACACTTGTGGACTGAAGGTTACTGTTCTCACCATCACAATTATCAGGATGACAATGGTTAAAATCAGAGAAATAAGAGATATCTGTAAAGATAAAAATATTACTTCAGTCAGTAAGATGCTGAAAGGCTGTTCTTTTAGCAGCATAATATATTTGTTGATTATTTACATGAATTTATGACTGTCACTTATTTTCTAATGGCATACAAAAAAAATAAACTGCTGTTATGATTTACCTTTCCCAATTTTGCTATATCTTGATATAAAGATAAGGGTAAGGTAAAGATGATGGTGGTAAGAAGAATTATGAAGTGACGGTCAGTAAGCACGTTATCCAGCCCAACTAAAGAAAAAAGAAAAAAATTTATTTCATTAAGAGACTGACATGAGGAACAGATTAATTACATTTGAAAGTTTAGGAAAAACAAACTGTTGGTGATCAAGCTTTTACCCCATTTACTCAAGCTAAGTAACACTGAAAACTAGGCATTAACTAACCTTTAGGAAGCCATGCACAGCATGTGTATAATCAAAAGAATTCTGCAAATTCAAGCCAAATGCATAATTTATGGGCTACATTAAACCAAAATTAGAAAGGCTGGCATTCCTACATATAGATTAGTATTAATATCTTTCATCATGTCTGGGTCAATGTTGGAAAACTGCAAGTAAAACATTCCACTACTTCTTTATGCCACTAACTCTTGAGGATTTTTTCACCCTGTGTGTTGACTTCAATTACTGGGCTGTTGAAGACAAGTCAAATCTTAAAGAACGATCCTAAAATAAGTTAATTTTGAGGTTTCTTTTGAGCACCTTTCTTGCCATCAGTTGGCTTCCACTTGCAAAATAGATTATCATGTGAAGGCAACAATAATGTTATAATATTCCATGCAATCTGTGGGATTTATCTGTATAACTTGTGGTTTTTTTCAAGCCAATAGCAACTTAAAATAAAACACATCTCAGGTTCAGTCAGGCTACCATAAATCCTAGGCTTGAATGAACACTTGCTGAATAATTATGGCTGGAAAATGACTGGCAATTGACATGCAAAAATCTGCGCTCTTTTCTTTGGGAGATTATAATACTTTCCCACATCTTTCCAGGCAGCTATTCTACCAGACAGGTAAAAAGATTTGCCATGCTGGGGGTTCCTCCTATCACAGAAGTCATATTACATATAAATCCTGATATTCACTGTCACTATCAATTTGATCAAGTATTCACAGAACAACAGAGTGTGACAGTTAAAACTACATCCACACCTTGCAGGCTTCACATGCTGAAAATCAAATAGTTCATACAAATACTAATTTCCACTTCATAGCAGACATGTTCGTTTTTAGTTTAATTTCCCAGTGAAGAATGTTTTAACTTAGCTGGCTTTGTGCTAAAGTAGATGGCACATGCACACAGATTGCTCCACTGATTCTGCTGTGAAAACGTAGAGCACAGGAAGGGAAACAAGGGCATGAGTTAAAAAGTGCAAAAGCCACATCTGGTTTTGCAGTGAATATCTAAAAGAACTGAAAGTTACACACACAGTTCATGAGTAACTACTACATTAAATTCATTATATTATTTGCAACTCATTCTGAATTATTCGCCAGATGAAGTGCAGTTTCCAATGCACTTCAAATGACCATTACAGGAATCATCTAAAAAAGATGACAAAAAATGATGATGCTGTAAATAAACAACTGTGGAAGACTCACTCCTATTTGCTTAGTATTTCACTGAAGCGTGTGGTCTCTTCTCCGACACTGAGTCCACTAATAACCAAAGACTAGGGGTTTTATTTAAGAAAGACTTATATAAAGAGTTTTTGAGACAAAGAAAGAAAACACAAACCCAAAACCAAACCACAAAGAAACAAATAAAAAATACATTAAAAAAGCCTTCAAGAAAACCTACTCATAGGCTTCAAGTTCTTAACTTGAACTATATTTAAGAGCCATTTAGAAGCAAAGTAACATCCCCACGTACTTCTGCTACACTTCTTTCCAATACATAATCCCCCATTTGGAATTTTTGTAAATGCCTCTTACCTCCAGGAATTCTCTGAAAAACTTTGGTTAAAGTGTCTCCTGTTATTATGTTGTAACTGATCATAGCTTAAAGAAAATAAATTTTTTTGTTAGTACAAGTCATATCCAAAATATTTGATAAACACTGAACACACTTATTTTGCAGACTTCAGCATCATATGCCACTATCCCTCTTATATGAATCCTGGCTAGCACCAATAAGATTTATGTTTCAGTTTTAAAATAGAATTAAAAAAAATATTTAACATGTCTTTTTATTTTTCTTTTGTTTTTGTTTGTTTTTTCAGGTACAACCTAAACAATAATCCAGCCTGATATGCAAGGTCATTGTGCTGACTTGCCATATAAACTTCCTTCAGAAGAAGTAAAAAAGGCTTTTAAAAAACAGTTTGTTTCAAATAGCAATTCTTCTTCAGTTTCTTTTCAAATTCTTGTTTCCATTTAGTAAAGTTCCTGTGTTAGTCTAATAATCAGCCCTGCAATGAAACACAAGGGACTTTCTAGCTAATGCAAAACTAGCAATTCTTTACACCAAAAGAAAGGAGAAAATTGATTTGGAATCAAATATGGACTTCCAGTCCTCTCTCTCATTAATAAGTGCTGTGGATTTAACATTCACACTTCATTCTTGTCTAATTCTACACTAAAATTGTGTGTATTTGTGCATATGTGTGTATACATACAAAATATATTTATACACTTGTGTGGTGTTCAACGTTTAGACAGCATATATGTAGGTATTGACTTTAATGCATAAATATCCACTGTTATGAAATTGTGAAATTGTAAGTCATTAACACCACTTACAGAAATAAATTCAAGTACGTACAAGTGCATAACTAGTTCCACGGTAAGGACAGAGACCTTTACAATTCTTTTATGTATTATCTACAAAGTAGTTGATTTACAAAGGGGGATAATTACGTGTGTACCCTTGTTGCCTGCAGCAACAGTAACTTGACTCCCTTAAAAATCTCAGCTACCTGTAATCAGACTGATCATTCCAAAAGTAAGAATTTTGACCTGTGACTCTCTGGTCGCTGAGTCCAGACTCTTGGTATCCCAAGTCACCACCTTTTGCAGCCCATGTGTGAAAATATCAAGATTATGTGACATTTGATTTAATCACGGTACTACTGTAAGAGACAGATTCAGAATATCACTTAATTTCAAACTTCTCATCTCAAAAATTCCTGCCCAGATTATACCTGTTTGTTCTTTTACTATTTCCTCTTCAAAGGAGTCTTGACTGCCCTACTTCCCAGTAGCTTGTTGAGTGTGAGGCTGAACTAATGCTTTTGAAGAACAACAACAGCATGCACTGTTCAAGCAAGAGCTGATTAGTGGCTTTTCCAATTGCAGTAATATTGCACCTCTGAAAAATTAGTAATTCTGTATACTCCTAAAGCTGTATTTTCCTTTTGTTTCAGGCACATCAACTTTGTGCTCTGTTACTCATACTGGAACAAAATCTCCTTGGCTATTTTTCATAGCTACTTTTGTCATTCATTTTTATATGTGTGATTGTGAATTTCTCTGCTGTTACATTTCAGTTCATTTTTATTGTTCCGGTCCTCCAGTTCATTGAATTCTTCCTTGGTGATTCTTCAGAACACAAGAAGTAAATTTAATATATTTTTTTTAATAGTAAAGAGGCATATACAGTATATTCTTTACACAGTTCTTAGTATTTAACCAGTGAAACAATGAGGCAATGTGAAAAATAAAACTTACAAAACTCAAACAATGATACTTTATGTGATCTTACCAATAAATGGATATAAAAACTGAAGAGTTGAAAGAATTATATAACCTGCACGACCATAGGTTTTTCTGACCAGCTCTTGGTATGTGGTGGTACTGGACAGGTTTCCTCCTTTGATCAGTAATATAATGGAATAACCTGTAAAAATATAAAGTTAAAGACTGTTAAAGACAATACGAACCAACTTGTGGTTGGTTACTTCCCACCTTCTTCCACTCCTTAAAAAAGAAAGTCTATAGAAAGGAAAACAGTGGCATTGGGAAGATCAGGGATTAGAAATCTCACCAAATATTTCAACCCATGAGATCCAGGAGTTACAGGTCCATATTGGAAGGAAAATATTCAAAATCATAGTACAACCAAAGGTTTGCATTCTGTGGTACATTTAAAAACAATGATATACAACCCACTCCAGGATCAGTCTCTTAATTAGGGTAAAAACAGTCTAAAACAGGTCATAATGAGGCACAAATAAAAACGTTCTTTCAAATGTTACCTTGACTAGTCTAAGAAACTAGGCTTTATGAAAAAAAATGCACACAGAAAGCAGCTTTATATGTTGTACAGTGTAATTCTCTACTTTTACTAATCTGCTCAAAGGATTAGTGAAGTAAAGGAAAAAATTAGTAATTTTTACTCTTATAGGTATACTTGTTTAAGGTATCATTAAGCTCAAGATAAGCCAAAATGTTGCAAGACTAATTTTCCCTTTAGAAGAGAAACTGCCTTTAGAGTACCTGTGATGTAGGCAACCACAAATAAAAGTAGCACTCCTAGAGGAAAACCAGCTTCCTTCATTGAATATGGTAATCCTGCAAAGAAAAGGAGAGATTTATAGAAAAACCTTTACAAATAATTATTTGTGACAACCAAAATAAAGAAATATTCAGATTTTTTTAGAAAATGCAAGGAATCTCCAAAATTGGTCCAGCATGCTTAATCACCTCAGAAAGATAATTTTCAGTGGACAGAGTTCCCTAGGTGTGAAGTTCAGTCAGCACCTGTCCAACTTCTCTCATCATTATGGCCAAGAGACTGTGGGTTATTTGTCACTGAGATGTGATCTCAGCTGACCTCTGCATTTTCGCATTGTAAGCAAATAAATATAGAGAAAAATCTTTAAAAACAGCAGCACAAAGTAAGATGACAGTGTTATTCTCCAAGCTGAATAGTCATGCATGGATAAACAAGGCTGAACACAGGAGTGCAAAGAAAAGCAGACTTACCTATAAGGCCTGATCCTATGATTGAATTGACAATGTTAAATGCAGCTGATGCCAGATCACTGTTTCCTCCTTTTTTCCTGGGCTTACTAAGGAGGGCTATTTGGTCATCTGTTTCTACCTAGTTAGGAAGACAGTCAAAACACCGTACATGAGAAGAAGAGGTGTGAGAAAGGATTTCACATGTACTGTGAAAGATAACCCCCCCACACTTTTCATAGACTTGGATTTGTAGAGGTATTTTGATATATAAATCCCATTTCTTCCAGTGAGAAATCAAAGGGGTATTAGGCATCTAATTCCTGTATAAGTCTGACCCATAATCCTCTGTAATTCTTCTCTGAAAAATAGTAAGTGGAAGGACAGAAATGTATATAAACTCAGAGGTAGGCTGCTAAACAAAGAGCTTTTTAGTCACAATCAAAGGCAGAAATGTGAATCAAGTATTTTTGAAACTACTTTGGCTAATACGAATGGTCAGTAAAAATTGCCCCTGATTCAGAGAAATTAAATTAATTTCAAGAGTTACTGGTAAAGCTTGCCAACATTTGAACATACTCTAATCCAAGGTCTTATCCAGTATTTTAAATATTTCTGTGCCACTCAATGGTCTAGTTAATTATGAATAGTTAATGACACTAAAATCAGCTAGTCCCAGAAAGTTTCTGTGGGAAAATCTGGTACAAGCCAAAGTTCAAAGCACAATTTGTAGCAAGTGGCTTCAAAAATTAAATTTCTTATCTTCATAAAGTATTTCTTCACAAGCATGCAGTGGTCCTCTCCTCAGATCACCACTCTACTGTCAGAGAACATTTTAGAATTATTCACTAGAAAGACAGTATTTTAATTTAAGTTGTGAAATTCAAAAGAGGAACATGCATTTAATTAAGAAAATGCCTGCCTGTGTTCTACAAAAGCAAAACATGGTGTAAAGTAAAAGTAAAACCACTATTTCATGGATGCAAGAGCCTATTTAACTTATATAGCAGGTAGTACAAACTCAGATGCTTGTCACTAATTCTCCTGGAAAAAAAATTACTGAAAAATCTAAGTCATCTCTAGATAGAGGCATAAGCTGACAAGCATAAAAGTGCCTCAAGGAGGGCTACATATTTAATTGGAACCTTTAATCCTTAAGCAGTACTAACATAAGAGTAATACTGGCTCAGATCAAAGGTCAGTATAAGGTGGTATCCCATTTCTGAGAGTGACCATGGAAGGTGCCTAGGGAAGAGCATAAAGACATGGAAAATAGCCAGTTAGCAAATAACTTTCCTGTCTCAGCTTTTCTCAGTTTGTGTATTCTGGATTTCCCAAAGTAGATGTGTTCTTGGTGCATCACATCCTTTAATGGATTGCTCTTTGAATTTTCCATTTTTTGAAACCATGTATAATTTTTAGCATCTGCAGTGTCATATGGCAGTGAATGCCAGGTTTTAACTATGCATCATATAAACAGGTAGGTATTTTTCTTTGTTCTGAATCTACCATTAAGTATATCCACCTGGTGTCCCAAAAATTTTTGTTTCATCACAGACAAACTAACCATCATCACAGACAAACTAACCACCAATTCCTATCTTCTTCATATCACATGCAGTTTCATAAGTAACATTCTCCCTCAGTTGTTTCTTAACTAGACTTACTGGTACTACATTTTTATTTCACTACTGATTTCAGCAGCAGGAGCATCCCTGTCATTCTCTCCTGAAATTTTAATGTCCTCTGCTACTTACAGCACTGTACATGTGGAATTGCACTGAACTAGAACAGTCCAGTTCCCTCTCTTCAGCAGCTACAAGAAAAGAACACAATGTGAATTGCACGGTCCTGGTCCCTTCCCCACTTGGAAGGGACTCATTTAAATGGGCAAAAAAGGAGAAGAAAGGACAACAGAAGTTGTGACACAGGTGAAACGGCTCCGGTAGCGCTCTCGAGAGTGCACCTGGCCTGCAGACGGGGAGGGACGTCTGCTGGGAGCCCGGCTAGAGAGCTGTGCAACGCAGGAGGCTGCGGGACAGGGAACAGGAGGCGTTTGTCTCTCGCAAGGTCCTCTCCTGGGGCCACCTGCTATCGCACCGACAGCGCCGGGCACGGCCGGACCACGCTCACGCCCTGGTCCTCACTCGACACCGAATTTCAGCTGTGCCCAGCAGCCGCCCTTCCCCTGCATCACAAGGATAAAGCCCCTCAGAACGCATTTTTTCCCCTCCGTGGTACCTATGACTCTTTTTCCCTCGTAGGGGTTCGGGGACAACCGAGCAGAGACAAAGAGGCCATCGCTGCCTCCAGCTCGGCCGCGGAGCGGGGACGTTCCAGCGGCCGGTCTCGCTCAGCCGCCGCAACCGGCCGCGCTGCCCCTCACACCCCATGCCCGTCCCGCGGACGCGGGCCGAGAGGGGTCAGGCGGGTGCCGGCGGGGCCGCTGAGCCCGGAGAGCCCCCCGCCTCGCCCCCCCTCAGTGTCAGCCCCGGTACCTGGGGAGCGGCGGCCGCCGGAGGCTCCATCGCCCGCGGGGCGGGGCGGGGTGGCGGGTCCCTCGGGCGCCGCTGGGCTGCGGGGCCCCTCGGCCGCCGGCACGGGCAGGGACCGGGGCGGCGGGGGTCCCCCGGGCGGGCTCAGGAGGGTCCCGCGGCACCTCCGTGGATGTTGGGGAGGCGGGTGTGTGTGTGCCCGGCTCGCCCGAGCCCTGCCCTGCCCGCCCCGCTCCGCACACGGACCTGCGGGAGCGCGGCCGGGGGCGCGAGCAGCGCCCCAGCCCCACACGGGCGGGCGGGGGCTCTGAGGCGGCCGCCCCTCCTCCGGGACGCCCTTCCCTGGAAACGCTCCAAAAAGTAAGTGCCTCTGCCTCGAGTATGTGAGACCCCACATTTACCCAGTATTTGTTTATCCCGAAGGCACAAGGAAAGTTTCCTCAGTGGGATGTGCAGCGAAAAACAGCTCAAATGTCACTGCTGCTCATTCGTGGTTGCTTTTTAATATCGATGTTATCGGCGAGGGCTCGCCACTGCAGTCCTTGTTTGTTCTCCTCAGGGAGGGCAAGCTGCTCTTATGGGTGCTAAGTCAGATAAAGAACACACCGAGGTTCCAGAGAAAGTACATTTGTATGATTTTAAATCTACAAAATCCAAAAACAAATGAAATTTGTATTGCGCATGTGTATTTCACATATGTATAATTTTAAATCTAATAGATCCTTGGGAAGAGACCAAACTAATTAAAAGATTCAGAATGACAGTGCTGAAAAGTTTAGAGTCTGTAGATACCTCTGTTACCTTGAGCAGCCTCCATCAGAAGCATGCTTTGTTAATATGGAACAAGCCACACAAAGTAATGTACATCTTATACAAAAACTTGTAGGAAGTAGAAAGCACTGATAAAATTGGAGTCAGTCATGGATTTTGTGAAGTGTTGCTGGACATAAAATTTAGGGCCTACAAGAGTAAAAAAAACACTTTGGAAACTTAGTCCAATTACTAGAGGGCACCATCAATAGGATACGGAGCCAAAATTTTCAATAAGATTAAATCATTATGGGGGAAAAAAATCCCTGAGAGATGACAACTTATTAGCAGAAGAAAGTAGAGCATGATAATTTCCTTTCTATAGTCTTAGGAATTCCTATATTTGATAATACTTTGCTAGGATGAACTGTGGTGGTTAAAGGAGTACATGTGCTGTGCATCAGTAATTTTGTCCTTAAAGATCTATGATGCATATGATTTAATATGGAGAACAAAGTGCACATGAAGAGCATATATGACATTTTTGTTCAATAGCTTAAGCATATTAGCTTCAACTCCTTCAAAAAAAGTCTCTAATCAGCTCCATGACAAACTTCAAGCTGACATGTATTCTTGTGTGACCAGTCAGATGACATGACTCAGCAGAGAAAAGTTTAGAGGCATAAGATGCAGAGAAAATTCCTGTGATTCGTAGCAATGTTATATTCCTTCCTGAACTGTACAAAGAATTCTGTGTGAAAACACATAATGAAGCTGTCTTAAAGCAGAGTGTAATAAAGCACACAGTATGTTTTCATGACAGTCTTCTACCAGATTCTCTATGTTTAGTACTGTAGCAACTTCCTCGCAAACCCACATGCTCTACACTAGTCCCTCTGAGTTATGTGATTTTGTTTTAATTCCCATTTGAGGTGTGCATTTGCTACTTCAGAAAATAATTTCTGTTTTGTGCAAATACTTTCTCTTGTAGGTCCTTGCTATTAGTCAGATACTTTCTTCAGGGATCCTTTTGACACAAATTCAGTGAAGCTCCCACTATGCAGCTCTTTGTATGTGAGAGGGATGATGCCAGATGTGACACCCACTTATTTAAGAGTCCTAGAATTTTATTTGTACTGGTCATAGTGGCTTGATTCCAAGTAGTGTTTGTAAACTTATCAGTTTTTAATTCAGTTTACTAACAGAGAATTTGGGAAAAGAATTGGCGCATCCCAAAAGATTGTGTAAAGGTTCTTTTTTTGTGTACTATGAGAGCTCTGTGCTCCTCGCTGTGCTTTGGGATGTGATTATTGCATGGACAGCTTAATACTGATTTTGGTCTTAGAAAGAAGTGTAGGAATACATTCTGAATAAAATAAAATTACAGGATGCACTGAAAGTCCATAATCCACAGTTTGAATTATGATTGCATTCTGTGGAGTTTGCTGCAGGACCGTTGGTACAATAGTTTACACCTCTAGTTGCAGTGCAGGGCTGAGCTCTGAAGGATGCCAACACAATTAAACCACAAGAGTAGGACAATTACCAAAAAAAAAACAAAAAACAAAAACAAAAAAAAAACACCACCAAAAAACACACCTGAACCAGAAAGCAGCTTCCAAAAAGATGGACACAAAGGAAGTTGTGTTCAAAAAAGGAAACAGAAAGAACCGCAAATCCTCACGAAATGTGGAAACATATTAAGGCAGGCTAAAATGAATTAGAGCAACAACCAATAAAAAGGAATTGTCATTATTGACTGTAGTATTTATGAAATAAATCCTGAGGATCCACAGAAAATTAATGCTGGGTGGGAAGAGCAATCATAACAAAATCAGAACAGAGAAAGTAAAGAGGGTTTTTTTGTTCACTGTAGAGTATCTTGGGAAGTTTTCCACAGCAAAACACTTCCCACAAGGAGAGTCTAACAGAAGATATGCCTTATACTGAATTATCAATACAGTGATGGAAAAATATAAGCAATAATGATTTGGGATGATCAGATGTATTCATCTTGGAATCATATATCAGTTTGTGTCTGAGGAAGGAACTGCTAAGTTTTTATTTAATATCAATGGTACTAGTGGTATTGGAAAATGAAAAATGTGACATAAATATGACCTCCTAAAATGATTCCAGGAATTATCTGGGAAACTGTATGCAAACACACCTGACACCTCCACTGGGCAGTGTAATAAAAACTATAATAAATAATAGAATGGGATAGCACTGAGCTGTGTTGGCAGAGCTTTGTGGACAAGCCTGCACTGTTAAAACTTTTCCTTTGCCAGTGTTACTGCTTGAGAACTAGATTTCTAAATGCCAATAAAGCCATTGTCACCTTTCACAAGCATTAAACATATTAAACCGAACAAGGCATTAAAAAAACCCAAAGAAAACTCAGTACTATAAGCTTTTTGTGTACTCCAAGGATGTTGTCTTGATCATCTGAAAACATGTAAGGTAAAAGATCTAAGATTAAGCACAAAGCAGGCCTAGAAAACGAAAAGACATGTGATGCAAATTGACAGACATAAAAGAGAGAATTAATTTCCCTTTATGTCTGTCTTTAAATGAAGGAATAAAACAGAAAAAAAATCAGCTTTTTTTTGGTAGAGAATGATCTTTATAATCACATGTCACTTTAACGTCAGCTTTACTAGTCCTTCCTGAAAAGGTCAGTAATCTTTTACTTTTTAATGGTGTCTTTGTCTGTGAGGCAAACATATTAAAAAAGGACTAATGTTCTCAACAGTAAATTAATTTAGATGTAAGATACCTAATCTGCCAGTAAGAGATTATGGACCACTTTTAAAAAAGATTTTGTTGAGAAGTGAGCTTCTGTGACGTGTGTGAGCAATGAGTGGAAACAGTCCAAATATTGTTGTGCCCCCCTGCAAGTACTGTCAGGACTACAGGGGAACGTAACCTCCCAATAACACAGCTGTAGGCAGTTCTGCTTGTGTTGCTAAACTGATGATCTTAACACCAAGCACATGATCTCCAGTAAAAGTATATAAACCATTGCAGAAACTACTTAAAAAAATTCTGTTTTGATGAAAATGTTTGTTTACGCCTGAAAACTTCTAACCTGGCCCTCATAAGAACCTGTAGTCTTTGTGAAGTTAGTGGACAAACACTGAACAACTGAACTGTTTTTCCTCTCCTCTGAGTTGAAGCTACCATAATCTGTTTTGGAGAAGTGTTGGTAACCTTTCATTGATGATTCTCATTGTGGATCCTGTGTCTTCAGTCTCACATGACAACATTTTCTGCCTTGTAGCCTGCAGTTTTGGTCAAAAGAAGGATAGGGAGGAAAAAAAATAATCTCAAACTGCAACTGGCAATGCACTACTAGTTGAATGTGAAAAATAATAAACTATTAATTTAAAACTCACATAAAACCAGCAAAATAAGAGAATTTGAAGCTTTACATATGACTTTTTCTTATAGCAAGTTTGAAATGTAAATTAATTGTTTCTTTCTCTAAATCATTAAGTCATAGGATCTCTGTCTGGGAAATCAAAATCAAAATTCTTCTGGTTCAAAATAGCCACAATGAAGCCCAGAGGGCAGCCACGCTGGTGTGGGAAAACTTATGACTGAATTGGGAACTGCCTTGTTCTGTTACATCCTGTAACTCTTCAGCTGAAGTGTATGAACCCGAAAGAATTTCTTATTTGCTTTCCTAGAAGTTTCTTTCATCTTTCTGGAAATTTGGAGGAGTTTTTTTCCCTTGTGTACTTTTGACTTACAGCAGTTCTACTGTTGATTATTTAATTGAGAAAGTAAGTAAGAGAATAAACTGTTGCTCCATATTCAAATTACTCTAAGTGGACAGGATGTCGGTAAAACTAACTGTGCTTGTGCTTAACTGAGGGTTTAGGATTGAAGTTGATGTCACCCTTTTACCTGCTGGACTGCTCTCAGTGGTGGGGAAAATTGGAGCTGGACACAGAAGTCAGTCATGTCTGCTTGATTGTTTATTGGGTATGAGCTAGAATTTGAGTGAGGAGGAAGTTACAAACACTGGAATTTTCTTGAAGTGTTGGAGTAGCAGATCTGGGTATCTCCTTTGGTGCTGCTTGAACAGATTTGAAAGGGCATGAGAAAGTAAGCCAAGTCTGGCCCTTCAGCACTTGAAAAACACCTTTTGTCATCAGTCTGAATAGATGTGTCTTACCAGTTCTAACAATAGTATTGAAATTTTTGTGCCACGTCTCAAACTTGTTACCTACATAAAGATACAGTGTAGTGTGGTTATCGGAGTTATGTTATTAATGTAGGTGTAACTCTTTCTCAGGGGTTGTAACACCTGGCTAATTCCCTCTCCGAGTGTTGACTACATAGACATCTACAAGCTGTACAAAAGATGTAAGATATTGCCTGGTCTACAAGAAAGCT